AGGGCTGGGTGAGCCAGGGCCGCATTCCGCAGCTGGCCTGTTAATCCGGTTCTGGGTGTGAGCAGCTCCCCCGTGGCCTGCCCCAACCTGCCCACTCCCTCCCGCAGGCGGGCAGGAACCCATGGGTCCTGGCACCCACCTTCCCCTCCAGAGAACCCCGGAGTCCTGGGCGCTTGCTGGCCTCCCCTTCTCAGTCAGTGGGCGATGGAGTGGTTAGAGCAGGGGATGCTGGGAGTCAGGATTCCTGGGTTCTGTGACTCGTGCCTCGGTTTCCCCTCCCCTGGGCACTGGCTCCTGCACCCAGACACCCCTGCGGTGAGGAGCCAACTCAGGGATTGGATGAGGCCTGGCCGGGTCATGACCCTTTGCTCAGGGCACGGTGAATACCAGCCACAGGGCGGGTGCTGCCTGGCACCCAACCCCACCCTGCTCCTGGCCAGGACCCAAAGCCCTAGGGCCCTGGGCGGGGTGGGCATATCCTGGCACACCAGGGAGCCAGGACTGCTGGGTTCTCTCCCCGGCTCTGGGAGGGGAGTGGGGGCTGGTGGTTAGAGCAGGGGGAGCTGGGAGCCAGGACTCCTGGGTTCACATACCAAAGGACTGGTGCCCCATCATGCCCTCAGCAGCTGGCACTGACTCACCTGGTTAACAACAGTTAACATGCAAATTCTGGGGCTGGTGCCCGCTTGGTCCCAACCAGCACCTGAACCTGGTGTTTGTTCCCCCCCTGTGCCTAGCACTGAGATGCGCCCACCTCTGGGGTGGGGCGGCTGGTTACCCGGGGACCCCTCACCCAATGCTGAGATGCAGCCACCTCTGGGGTTGGTTATACACAGACCCCTCAGCCGGCCCTAATTTCAACCATGCCCGGCCTGGGGAAAGAGGGAATGTAGCAGCCCCCCCGCCCCTTGCTAATCCCCCCCATTTCCCCAGTAAGGGGGCACCGTTGGGGGTCTCCCATACACCCGAGGGGACGGGGGAGCAGGGACAGGAAGCGCGGGCGGGACCCACCTGTACCCTCCGGCTGCGTTCCCGTATCCCGCGGCAGCCGGGCACGGTGGGTAGCGGGCCGGCTGGTAGCCCAGGGGCTCGCCGTAGCCCCAGGCCCGGGTGGCAGGCAGCTGGGGTGGCGGGCGGCCCCCCGGCGGCGGCTCCTTGGCGGGGGCCCGGCCCTTGCGCCGGGGTCGGTACTTGTAGTCAGGATAGTCCCGCATGTGCCGGGCCCGGAGCCGCTTGGCTTCCTCCACGAACGGGCGTTTCTCGGCCTCGGGCAGGCGGCGCCAGGCGGCCCCCAGGCGCTTGGAGATCTCCGAGTTGTGCATCTTGGGGTGCTCCTGTGCCAGGCGCCGGCGCTGCCCGCTGGACCACACCATGAAGGCGTTCATGGGCCGCTTCACCTTGTCCGGGGGGTCGCCCCCCGCCGCCGCGCCCTGCCCCTCGGCCATGCCCGGCCCCGTCTGAGCCCGCCCGCACCTGGGCAGCCAGATATAGCAGGGCTGGGACCACGCCCACCGGGGGGTGGGGCCTCCCTGCCAGGACCCATGGGCCCGCCCCCCCCACCAGGCTCCTCCCCACACATGTCCTGGCTCCCACCCCCGTCCCAGAGCCGGGGAGAGAACCCAGGAGTCCTGGCTCCCAGCCCCCCCTGCTCTGAACCACCATCTCCCACTCCCCTCCCAGCGCTGGGGAGAGAACCCAGGAGTCCGGCTCTACGACAGGGGGGCAGAACCCCACCCCGCTCAGCCGTGAATATTCCCTCCCTCCCCACAGGTCCCTGCCTAGTACGTCATCTCCCCCCTGTGGCCAGTCCTAGGAATTACACCTGCTCCTGCTTGGGGCCCCCACCACCCAGAGACAGGTCAGTGGCCCCCCCCCGGGCTCTCACTGAGCTCATCCTCCGACCC